ACTCGCGATGCTCTTTTAAACTGTGAGACTCTGAACCGTAGTACCAAGGGATGTATGTTTTGGGGTTAATGGGGGACATTGCGGGGTAGAAAAGAGGGTAAGTGCGGGATTTAGGGTTGTCTTATTGGTAGTCACACACATGATGGGGGCTTTTACACAAATTAAACGATGCAATGACTTAAGTGTCCCGTGCGATGCCGAGTACATTGCACTGCGTTTCAGACATTCAAAATCACTCCTGCAAAGTGCACGTGCCCGTGGCATAGTTGGCCCGTAATGGTGGAATGCAATCATTTCGGCTAGACGTAGTTGAAAACATGGCCGTTGAAAGTTCCAAGAAACAGCAAAAATTCCAACTGCAAATGGTTGGTAGGGTTGAACAATTCAGTATCTGCGCTTTGGAGCGGGCGGAGTTGAGGTTCAGCCTTCCCGCGGAGCGTCGAGAGAGCCCGGCTCTGCTCCGCGTGGACCGACGAAATTCCGGAGCCGCCCTGCCGCGGCGCCAGCTCATTCGATGGTCGAGACACCGGTCAGGCTAGCCGGGCTGCAGACCACCACCGGCGTGTCCGATGCAGCCCGAGGCGCCTCGTGTCGGCATGTCCCGGCGCTCACCGCGCGCGCGAACTCCCCAACGGCAGCCCACGCTGCCCCCTCGGCGGACGAGCAGCGAGGTGTCGAGGCCCACATCTCTCCAGCGGAGGGACGGGCGGCGGCCTCTGCGCGTGTCGGAGCCGGAACGGACCGGCTCGCGGCGCGGCGCCGGTCACGCGGCGGCGGCCGCGCGCCGTCGGTCGCGCCACGCCGGCGCGCGCCGGGGGAGCGGGCCGGCCCGCCGCGCCCGGCCGTCGCCCGGAACCATCGGGTAATTTGGCGTGCGGACCGGCGGCGTGAGGCGTGACCAAGGCTCGGACGCCGGTGGCGACGGCCTGGGGACGGGACGGGGGCTCCGGCGACGCCGCTTGGACGCGGCGGACAGGCGCCGTCTCCGTCGGCCGGCGGGTCCGCTGTTGGACGGGGCACGCCCCGCTCAGACTGCGTGGTGGTACGGACCGCACTGTGGAACGGTTTTGACAGCGTGGTGCAGCCCAGAGTTCCCCTCCCCACCCCACCCACACCCCACCCCCCACCCGCGCCCCCCACCCCGCCGCGTGAGTGGCACGACACGCACCGCTTTGCACGGCGCAGCGAAGGGCAGCGCTTTGTGAGCGGATGGCGCCTAGATACCGGCCAGCGCTGCGGCGGGTCCTGCGCGTACTCGGCCGCTGTCGCTGGACTGGCGACGGTGCGACTGCGGCGGAGACAGCCGCGGCTGCGGCGGGGACGGGCCGGCTGCGGCTGGACGGGCGCGGCGCTCGTCGGACCGGCGCCCCCTGCCGGGCGTCCTCGTGACGCCCACCTGAACCAGCCGGCTGAGTCACCGGCGTGACGTCAGCGGGCGGCGGCCGGTGACGTCACGCCGGGCCGGGCCGTCGGTCGGGCCACGCAGGAACCGGTCTGAGCGGTTGCTGCTGACGGCTGGCGCGGCTCAGCGCCGCCGAGGAAGGCCGCCGAGGCGCCTGGTCGACCAGCCGAAAACCGCAGACGGCTTTTACTTTTGCCGGTACGTTATGCAGACGGTGTGTTTTGCCGTTATGTAAGCACGTGGTGAGCTCGACTTAGTGTTTCCTGTAAATGCAACGCGTGTTGAAAGCGTCTTACAAACGATCAGAAGTAATATTTTCAGGCACTAGAGCCTGTCCAACAGTGCAGCGGGCGTAGTCATTTTGCTTGGCACACGCGAAACTGCTCGGACTGGACGTTATTAAGCTCATGGGACATACCAGCTCGGATGCCGCGCCGCTGCGACGGGCGGCCGTGGCCTGCTGTGCTACCCTGCTGCAGAGGCGCGGCCGCGTCCTTCCCTGTGCGCCGCTGCGGGAGGACAGGCCGCAGCCTGTGCTGCGCCGCCTGCAACGGGGCGGCCGTGGCCTGCTGTGCTGCTCTGTTGCAGAGCGGCGGCCGTGGCCTTCCCTGCGCTCCGCCGCTGCGGGAGGACGGGCCGCAGCCTGTGGACGGCGCTGCTCGACCTTCCCTGTCACGGTCGGCTGACACGCACGGTGGGCCTGCCTGTTCCAGGAACGGCCGGCCTGTCAGGCGACAAGGGGCCGGCAGTACTGGGAGTGCTGCCCATGACCAACCCTCATGGCAAAGGGTGGAGAACGCCAGGCAGTGTGCGTGTTGCAAGGAGTGTCGGGACGAACGACCTCGCTAAGCGGAGGGGTCAGCGTTTGTGGCCGATTTTCCAAGGCGGGTGGTTCGGCCGCTGTCACACCGGCCCTGTCGCAGCTCCCTCCCATGCTCAGGACGACTTCGGGCAGCCGGTCGGCGGACGCGGCGCGCAGACAGGCAGTTGGTGCGCGTTTGTGGCGGCGGCGGCGCCGTTTTTGTCCGCTGCCGCTTCACGCATGACTGGATGGTCGGTCGGCTTCCGCTGCCTCTGTTTTTCTCGCCGGCGTCCTCAGTGGCAGACGACGCGCGCACTTGCCCCGAAGCTCTCGGGCGCTGCCTGGTGTTGGCGGTGGTGTTGGTTTGGGGTCAGTGACAGCTACAAGCGCACGTGCTAGTGCTCTTCCACCGGCGATTCTGTGGGTTGCCAAAATGACGCTAGCGCACAGCGCACAAAAACCTGCCATGGCCATCTCGTGATCATTGGGGCAGGCATTGCTGCAGTTCATGGGTTTCCTCCGTTGATGGTTTAAGCCGTCGCCCCAAGGTTCCGGCAGGGCTGGAGGAGATTTGGCGGTTTGAATCTGAATGCATCGACGTAACCTCATCGGGGCGCTGGTGAGGAGTGAACTCTTGGGAAAGTGGATCCAGATCTCCGTAAATCAGGTGGTGCTGGCCTTAATGCGACGCGCATAAGTGGGGATGAGCAGCTTCCCCTCAAATCGTGCTGTCTGTGCCGCACAGTATGCGCTCTTCGGAACCGAAGTTTGAGAAGCACCGCGCGGATTACACGCTTGACTCCACACCACCCGACTGACGAGCATTTTTGGTCCCGCCAAGCTCGGTGCTGTAGTATTGCGCATGCGCGCTGGCCTGCGTCATGGTGACTGGTTGGTTGATGACATGCCGACTCGTGGTTGGTGACATGGTGACTTCCGGCGGTTGGGTGGCAGCGACGGCCGTGACCTGCCCCGTGCCGCCACCGGCTGGCGGGAGCGACGGGTCAGCTATCTCAGTGCGGCGACCGGTGGGGCTTAACGCGGTTGACACTGGTGACCGGCGGCTACGCGCTCTACCACAGAGCAGGGCTGAGCACTGTTGGGAACACTGAGGCTGAGGCTGAGGCTGAGGCTGAGGCTGAGGTGGCTGAGGCTGGGACTGAGGCTGAGGCGGCTGAGGCTGGGCTGAGGCTGAGGCTGAGGCTGAGGCTGAGGCTGAGGCTGAGGCTGAGGCGGCTAAGGCTGAGGCTGGGGCGGACGGCACTTCCGCCATGCCGCGCCGCTGCTGCCGGCGGCGGGGAAGGCCGGCCAACCACCGCGATGGGACAGGGGGACTGGGACAGAGAGAACGGAGGACTGAGGACAGAGAGAACTGCTAACAGAGGACCATGGACGAAGAGGACTGGAACAGGAAGCGACTGGGGACGGACAGGATGTGGGACAGGGACAGAGCAGGGATCATTGCGAGCAGGGAGGACGGAAACAACCGCGAACATCGAGGCAGAGAACAGGGAGGACGGAGCACAGAACGAAGGGCGGGGAACAGAGAGAACTGCGAACAGACGGGACTTACGACAGGAAAGGCGGAGCACAAAGGAGGCGGGGTCGTTGTCCTCACGTGCGTTCCGGACATGCTAATGATATGCGAGCTATTTGCGGGCGGGCTAATTGTAATCAGATCGTTAGCGGTGCGGTCAGGGGGGGGGGGGCGGCCTGCGACACAGATGCGTACAAAGGGGAGGAGGGCTGGCCCTAGGCTCGTTAGTACCGAGAGGCGGCTGCACAGAAGCCGCCTCGGTGCTTCTGTGCGGCCGCCTTGTGATGCGATTGCAGGGATGATGGATACAGGGATGATGGATTGCAGGGATGATGGATTGCAGGGACACGCCAGTCCTGTCTTAATGGCAAGTTACCAGAACTCTACCGTCCTGTTTATGGAACGGCCCTATATTTTTAATAGAAAGATGTCTGCCGATTAGCTTGCAACGGCACGGTCGGCGAAATCATGATGTCGTTATGTTTATCACTGGTGCATATTTCTGAAAGTGGTAGCTTATAGATGTGCTAAGCCTGTCATTTAAGTGGGGTTGCGTGGTTATTGCAGAGATAATGTTGCCTGCTCCCTGCAGCCCACGTATGTGCGAAAGCGACCATCTATGAGGCTGAAGCGCTTCCCAAGTTGTGAGCGTAATTAAGTTGACATCCGAGCTGTGGGCCCAGCTTGATCAGCGAGTGACGTGCGCTGGATGGCTCGTCCCTTTTTCGTGCTTTATCTAGCGCGCAGGAAATTTGAAGCTTTCGCTAATCCTCTTTCGTTCGCAGTTCTTGTTAATCCGCTTTCGCCCGTAGTTTTTTAAAGTGTGTTTCCCATCTTCATATTCTTACCGTGGCCTGGTCGGGTCTGACAAGTCTGGTCTTTCCGATCCGGTTTGACTTGGCTGACCTGACATGGCCTGGTCTGTCATATCCTGGCCTGACCTGACCTGGTCTGGCCTGGCCTGGCCCGGCCCGGCCCGGCCCGGCCTGGCCCGACCTGACCTGGCCTGGTCCGGCCTGGCGTGTTCTGGTCTGGTCTGGTCTGGCCTGGCCTGGCCTGGCCTGGCCTGGCCTGGCCTGTCTCGGTCTGGTCTGATCTCTGCCCTGGTCTGGCCTGTCCTGTCCTGTCCTGCTGTCCTGTCCTGTCCTGTCCTGCTGTCATGTCATTCATGCCATGTCATGTCCTGTCCTGTCCTGTCTTGGCCTGTTGTATCTGCTCAGGGCCAGCCTGTGATCGCGCGTGCTGTTTTTTTTTTTGCAGATAACCCGCATCTGAACTTCCCGCGGCGGCAGCTCAAGTATCAGCAGGAGCTGGGCACTGGCTGGTTCGGCCAGGTGAGTGGGGTCCGGCCTGTGCCTGCCCGCCGGTGCGTCTCCCCGCCGGCCTGTCTCTGCCTCGCCTCCGCCCTGCTCGCCCTGCCCGATAGGCCCTCTAGGCCGCCTGCCCAGCCCGCCCTCCGTCCCTCCCCGTCTTTTCCTCCCCACCCTCCGTCCGTCCCTCCCGGCCGGCCTGTCTCTGCCCTGCCTCCGCTCTGCCTCCGCCCTGCCCGATAGGCCCTCTTGGCCGCCTGCCCGGCCCACCCTCCGTCTCTCCCTCCGCCCGGCTCTGTCCAGCTGTAAATGGGCATGGCGTTTGACGATTGTGCCGTCGCCAGTTGTCTTTGGGTTTGTTGTTTTTCTGTCTGTTGTCCGTCTCCGCGCCGCGCCGTTTTATTGTCTCTATCTGTCGTCCGTCTCCGTGCCGCGCCGTTTTCTTGTCCCTCTGTCTGTTGGCTGTCTCCGCGCCGCGCCGTTTTCTTGTCCCTCTGTCTGTTGGCTGTCTCCGCGCCGCGCCGTTTTATTGTCTCTATCTGTTGTCCGTCTCCGTGCTGTGCTGTTGTGTGGCCTCTCTATCTGTTGTCCGTCTCCGTGCTGTGCTGTTTTGTGGCCTCTCTATCTGTTGTCCGTCTCCGTGCTGTGCTGTTTTGTGGCCTCTCTATCTGTTGTCCGCCTCCGTGCCGCGCTGTCTCGTTCTCCCGTTCTGCGTTGTCTGTACGTCGCCCGCCCGTTTGTCTGTCATCTGTCTGTTGGTCATCGTCTGTTTGTCCGTCTCTCGGCTGTCTGTCCGTCGGAGTGCAGTCCAGAATCCGCCTTGATGAGGGCTCGGAGCTCACACGGAATACCCCGTCGCTTTCCGTATGATGAGATAAAGGATTCAGCAAGCCAGATTCATAACCGTGTTGAGTCTACTTCGGTAAATCCTTCAGTCAGTCTAGCTGAGGCAAATAGAAGATAAAACACAATTCGGAATTCCCAAGCCGGCTTATGAGCGGGGTCATGACCGTTTCCCTCCACGTGGGTGGGCCGCTGCGTTGCCGTTGCGTTTTGGCTCCCCTTTGCATAGTGTGCAGCAAATTCCGCCGCGCCCGTGACTGCTTCGTCTGGAGCTGGCTGGTCACGGCCTGAAGTGACCAGCAGCGGGCCGTAATGCTCAGATAATGACCGCATTGTTTACGTCCGTGCCAAGTGGCCCGATCCGTCCTCATTAGGCGCGTGCCGGGCAGGCGGCGCGGCGGCCGCCGCCCGGTCGGCAGCCGTCACTGCAGCTGCTGCGCGCGGTCACCGGCTGGCCGGCGCGCGTCTGGTCCGACCCCAGAGCTGATCAATCTGAGCCGCGTGCCGGCCTGTCTTCAGTCCCCCCCCCCCCCCCGGCTCGGCCTGTGCCGGCCTGTCTTCAGTCCCGTCCCCCCGGCCGCCGACCCGTCCCGTGCTCGCCTGTCTTCAGTCTTCATTGCTGTCCCCTCGGCCGCCGGCCCGCCCCGTGCCGGCCTGCGTTCAGTGCCGTCCCCTCGGCCGCCAGCCCGGTCCGCACCGGTCTGTCTTCAGTCCCGTCCCCCCGGCCACCGGCTCGGCCCGTGCTGGCATGTCTTCAGCCCTGTCTCCTCGGCCCGGCCCGGCCCGTGCCGGCCTGTCTTCAGTCCCGTCCCCCTGCCACCGGCTCGGCCCGTGCCGGCCTGTCCTCAGCCCCGTCCCCTCGGCCGCCGGCCCGGCCCGCTCACCGCTGCCATCTGGCGGCAGCGCTTCCGTCCCCGGCTCAGATGCAAGAGGTGTCAGACACGTGACCTTCGTAGAACGCGCTGCAGGCGCCGGCCGTACATTTTTAAATTCCATCTGGATGTCTGTGTATGTGCTCTCCAATGGGATGCCCTGTGCAGATTGGAATTATTGTCAGACTGTGGGAACGGGACATGACCTGACTGAATTGGTGTGTCACCTCACCATGCATTGAGGAGTGGCTCGCGACCTTACCTTATCTGATTTGTGTCACCAGACATTCCTTGGAAGGCTCGTGACCTAACCTTAGCTGACCTGACCCGTCTGGATGCTTCCCGTGACCAGGCGCTGGTGGAGAGGCTCGTGACCTGACCTGACCTGACCCGACCCGCCGTCATACTTTCTCTGACCAGGCGCTGGTGGGGGAAGCCCGTGACCTGACCTGACCTGCTGTGTCACCTGGCGCTGGTGGAGAGGCTCGTGACCTAACCTGACCTGACCCGACCCGCCGTCTTGCTTCCTCTGACCAGGCGCTGGTGGGGAGGCTCTTGACGTGACCTGACCTGCCCGCCGTGTCATCAGGCGCTGATCGGGAGACCTGTGATCTGACCTGACCTGACCTGCTGTGTCACCAGGCGCCGGTGGGGAAAGCTGATGATCTGACATGACCCGCCGTGTCGCCAGGCGTTGGTGGGAGGGCCCGTGACTTGACCTGACCTGACCCGCTGTGTCGCCAGGCGCTGGTGGGGGAGGCCCGCGACCTGACGGCCGAGCCGCGCACCGCCGTGGTGGTGAAGGCGCTGCGGGCGGGCGCCACGCTGCCCGAGCAGATGTACTTCCTGCACGAGGTCAGTTGGCCCTGCCCCGCACGAGCACGACCACACGCACTCCGGGCCCGGAGAGGGCGGTGACAGGCGCCCGGCGGGACGCCGCTCGACCGCGGGCTGTCCCACTGATGAGCTCGGGGCTTTATGAGCGGCGCAGCACGTTTTGGGGTGGGTTGGTGGGTGGATATGTCTGTCATTGTGACGCGGTGAATGTTTGCCGGCTCTTGTGCTCAGGAGCCGTGGTGATCATCGATTTTGTGTTTTCGCCGAGTCGTAGTCGACGATTTGTCATTGCTTAATGCGCCCGCTGGAATGAATTGCTCGAAATATTGCACGACGTGGCTCTGCTGTCGCGTTGCAACCTTGCATGTTGTGCCTTGTTTAGCAGACTGGAAAGACAGATTATTTGCGTCTAGGGAGCGCCTGAAGTGCTTCGACCGCTTCCGTAGTTGATCAGCGGGTCGCTGGGATACTGTGCCGGCGGCTAGGTAGTGCCGGTCGTATCGGTCAGGTCTGTCGGGTCGGCCGGGTCTGTCGGGTCTGTCGGGTCTGTCGACGGGGCGCCGGGCCGTCTTAGCCGGCCGTTCTCGTCGCCAGATGTCGTACCTGCGCGACGCCAACCATCCCGCACGTGCTGCGGCTGCTGGGCCGCTGCGTGGAGGCCGACCCCTACCTGCTCATCCTGGAGCGCTGCGGCATGGTAAGGCGCCGCCGGGTCCGGCCGCGGCAGAGACGGCGATCCTGCTGGCCCGCTGGCCGCTCGCTGCTGGCCACACTCCGCTCGGTGCTCGCTGCTGGCCTCTGGCTGCTGGCCGCTGGCTGCTGGCTGCTGGCTGCCGGACCGGACCGCGGCTGGCTGCTGGCACCGTTGGCTGCCGGCCTGGCTGCCTGGCTGGTGTCAGGGCGGCGGGCAGCGGGGGGTCTGGTGAAGCGCTGGCCAATGTTGCGTCCCGTCCCAGCTGATGTGTGGTGGCTCCCAGGGATGACTGGCCGGTGTAAACTGGGCATCAGCCGCTTACAACCATCAGACCGTAACCGCGGTCGCTGTGCACATTTTCTGGTGGTGCCCAGTGGTACACCGATATGCCTGTTGGCTTTGCGCGCTGGAACTGCACGCGGTAGTGTGCCACCACCCGTCATCTGGCTCAGGTGTATCAGCTGTGCCTTGCCGACGCATCCCCCAGCTTCCAGCTGAGTGCTCCATGCTCGCCGCTCGTTGTTTAGAGCCCGGACTGTGTCGCGTGCGGTGCTGATTAACGCTGGGAGCCTAATTGGGGTGCGGAAACTTAGGAAGAGGTCTGCCGGCCAAGTGTTGTGTCCGCGCTGCTCATTGGTGGAGTAACGCCGTGTAGTCAGCTGGCGTGGGCGGACTGGGCTTGCCGCTTTCGTTATGGGCGCCACGTGACCTTTGATGCCGACGCGCCCGTAAGTCTCAAGTCATCATCATCATCACTGGCCTGTAGGCTGGCAGAACCACGTGATGAGCGACTGTCCAGCTGTCGCCCCTGCCCGTACGTCACGCCACATGTATTCCGGCTATTGCCGAGCGGGGTCGTAACATACTGAGGAGCCGCAGACAAATGACCTTTTGACGGCCCCAGGGCGACGCCAAGGAGTTCCTGCAGTCGCGGTCTTCGGAGCAGCGGCAGCTCCTGCTGGACACCATGTCGCTGAACAAGATGGCCATGGACGCGGCTTCGGGACTTCAGCACCTGCATGACATTCATTACACGCACAGGTGGGGTGCCGCGGTTGGTGGACGGCGCCGTTGTCATGTCACGGTTTCGTCACAGTGAAGTACTCGAAGCGAATTGCCGCTACAGTTCGTGGCGCCTTACTCGTTGGCAACCCAGCGCCACACCTTATTGCTTTCCTGAGACAAGAAGACAGATCTGACCTTACTCATTGGTAACCTGGCGCTCGTGGTGCGCTTTGGACCTTACTGTTTGGCAACCTGGCGCGACGCCTTATTCACGAGACAAGACAAGATATTCCTGAGACAAGAAGACAGATCCGACCTTACCCTTTGGAAACCTGGCGCTCGTGGTGCGCTTTGGACCTTACTGTTCGGCAACCCGGCGCGACATCTTATTGCTTTCCTGAGACGAGACAAATCCGGGTCGGAGCTGACGTGGCCGGTGTTGCAGTGTTGCACTGACCGGCGTTGCAGTGAACGGTCTGCACCGACCTGTCCAGTGTTGCAGTGACCCGTCTGACCTGACTTGACCGGCGTTCCAGTGACTTGGCGGCGCGCAACTGCCGCATCATGGAGAACTGCACGCTCAAGATTGGCGACTACGGCTGCAGCATCGACAAGTACAAGGTAGGAGCGTCCGCTCGCTGGAGAACGGCGTCCGCGTCCAGCTCGGGCCTGTCCGGCGCCCTGTCCTGGCTCCGAGGGTCATTAGGGGGGGCCGGGCTGACACCCTGTCCTGGTACTTAGGGGTCAGCGGCGGGGAGTACCGACACCCTGTCCTGGTACCGAGTGGTCAGCGGTGGCGGACCGTCACCCTAGCGGTGGTGCTGACAGCCATGCGCTGGCGGGATGACCTGCGGGTTGCGCAGGTTTGTGCTTTTCTGTTGTAGCTCCTGTTTTCAACAGCAGTGCGGTAGTTTGTCGTTAGTTTGTTATGGGGGGGGGTCGTTAGTTTGTTATGGGGGGGGGGGGGGGGTAATATAGCATCGTGCGCACTGTGCTGGCAATTGCTCGAACTTTCCAGGCCAGTACCCCGACCAGACCATTTTACTGCATGCGTTCATTATCCCTTGTGTTGGTATATGCTGCCCGTGATATTTAATCATTAAGATATCATTGTATTCCGCCTTGCCCGTACGTAGCGTCGCGGATGGAGGGCAGTGCTGCATCACCACACACGAGCGCCTATGGAGCCCCGTCCCTCCCGGCTCGTCGGTCATGGTCATTACCGACTCCCTCGTGGACCAACACGGCCACCGGCGCTTAGTCGGCCGTCGATGGCCAATTACCCCCCTCCCCGCTCCTCCTCCTGTGTACACACACACACACACACACACACTGGGGGAGGGGGCGTTCTTCCGTCGCTCCGCGGCCAGACCACAGCCGGTGGGCGTCCGTCGAAGCCGCGGCGGCGGCGGCGGCGGCGTTGTCATGGCGACGAGCCGCTAATGACGCCGGCCGGGCGATTTATTGTGATCATCGGCTGGGCCGGCTAAGCGACGGGCGCCTGCCGGCTCGGGAGGCGGTGACGTGGACGGACGGCCGAGTCTGGCGCGGCGTCTGATGGCGCGCCGGACCGACGGCGCCGTGACGCCGCCATCGACGGGGGCGCCGACTCGATTTGGCCTCGGTCTGACTCGGTGTGGACTCGGTCTCACTCGGTATGGACTCGGTCTCACTCGGCGTGGACTCGGTCTCACTCGGCGTGGACTCGGTCTCACTCGGTGCGGACTCGGTCTGACTCGGTGTGGACTCGGTCTGACTCGGTGTGACGCGATGGATGGAGAGATGCGCCGAGTCTGACGCGAGGTTGAGGTTGTGGTGATAATTTAGCCAGACCGTTGAAGGTTGACATCTCGGTCCTTTGTCGGCGTTCTGTCGTGCACGGGGCCGTGTCCTCCAAGTCTGCTTGATATGGGACGGTTACGCGAGTCCTTGTTCCAATATGCCAGACCTGGAAGTCCTCGGCGCGCCTCAGGTGTCGTATGCAGGTCTTCCGCACGTTGGAATCCATCGGGTGGGCCGCGCGCCCATTCCACTCGTCCTGCACCTGCCAATTGACGTAAAAAGGTAAAATATTGACGTAAAAAGGTACGGTGTGCGCGGCGTGTGTCACGCAGTATGCTGCAGCTCGGATTGGTTCAGTTTCCAACCGATGCGGATGTCCGCCCCCTTCCTCCTCCTCCCCTCCCCCGGCGCGGGTAGTGTTCACCCTGCACAGCGTGCGAAGTGCAACGCACTTTGGCCTACGCAGGTGGGGGTCAGCTTTCGGCCCGTGCGGTATCAATGTGCGGTATCAATATGCGGTATCAGCGCTGTTCAGTTTTCAGTTGCTGCAAATGGCGCCGCATGCTCCACTCCGCGTTTCAGCGGGCCCTCCGCTCATTGGTCACCCTGCGCTCATCTGGTCCGGGCTGCCTGCGGGGCCGCCGCGGGCGCTGCCGCGGTCCGACCGAGCCCAGCTCAGGCCCGCGGCGGTGAAAGGGGGGGGGGGGGGGCGAGGGAGGGGGACCGTCAGCCTCTGGAGGCGCCGCTAATCCCCAGCACGCCGATGCCGCCGGCCGCCGAGCCGCCTAATGCCGCCGATGGGCCGCCATCACGCTGGCGAAGCCTGGCGACGCGCGGCCGGGGACGAACACGGCTGAGGCCGTCTTACGCGGTCCGAGACCGGCTAACACGGCTCGAGGCCGTCTTACGCGGTCCGAGACCGTCTAACACGGCTCGAGGCCGTCTTACGCGGTCTGAGGCCGTCTAACGCGGCCCGAGGCCGTCTTACGCGGTCCGAGACCGTCTAACACGGCCCAAAGCCGTCGAACACGGCTCGAGGCCTTCTTACGCGGCCCGAGACCGTCTAACGCGGCCTGAGACCGTCTAACACGGCCCGAGGCCGTCTTACGCGGCTACAGGTCGTCTAACACGGCCCAAGACCGTCCAACGCGGCCCGAGACCGTCTAACGCGGCTCCAGATCGTCTAACGCGACCCAAGTCCGTCTTGCGCGGCCCGAAACCGTCTAACACGGCTCGAGGCCGTCTAACGCGGCCTGAGGCTGTCGTATGCGGCCATAGACCTTCTTACGCGACACAGCCCGTCCGCCGCGGCCCGGACTGTCTGGCAGCGCTCCTCAGACCGTCCCACTGGCCAAAGCCCTGCTGACGCGGCCAGTGCTCTGGTGAGGCAATGGGAGCCGAGCAAGCGTGACCTTAGATCGTTTGACTCAGCCTAGGGGAGCTGAAGCAGCAAGTTTTCGGCCGGCGGGGCCTGGGTGCCGCTAAATCTACGGCCCAGCTAGCGCGGTCTGGGCTCAGCTAGCGCAGTCTGAACCTAACCAGCGCGTGAACCCAGCTAGCGCGGTCTGAGCCCAGCTAACGCGATGTGAGCCTAGCTAGCGCAGTCTGAGCCCAGCAAGCGCGGTCTGAGCTCAGCTAGGGTGGTCTGAGCCCAGCAAGCGCAGTCTGAGCCCAGCTGGCGGCGACCGATGCTCGTCCGAGACGCCGGGGCGCCGTCCGTCTCGGCGGGGCCGGCCGGCGCCCGGCGCTCATCTCCAGACGGCGCGGCGCCGGCAGACGCCGAGGCCGGCCCGGGGACGTCCCGCCCGGCGCCCGGGGCGGTGCGTGACGTCACGGCTGGCGGCCGCTGACGTCACGATCGCAAACTCCGACGTCACCGCCGCCAGTGGAGTAAGATAACGACTCCTCCCGGGCGACGGCGTGTTAGTTGGGAAATTTGTAAACGGTTTCGCTGCTCGGGATTTTATCGTGGTGCCCGTGAGGTCGAGGCCGCTAAATCCAACGCGGGCTGACCGCTTGAGCGTTGTTCAAAGGGTCGCAACGGCCGTCTCACTGACGTCACTGATCCACGGCTCGTGTGTTGTCGTCTCCTGGTAGCCCTGGGTTCGGCGGTGGACGGCCCGCCAGGACGCCGCCTGACGCCCGGCGGTTTGGTTTCATGTGGAAGAGGGGGAGGGAGGCGGGGCTGGGGCGGGTTTGACATGACCTCTCCGTGGGCGGACGCTCCACCTGCCTGTTGGCCGCCGATCGATGTACCTGCGGTCGTCACGTCTCTGACTCACCGCTTCCGTCGCCATGGCGACGTCGGACGCGGCGCCGTCCTGCCGGATTCTGGGACGCGTCCGGCCTATGGAAGATTGTGTAATTAATATTTGTGCTCCGTTAATTATCAACGGAAGCTCTCATTTCCGTTGGTAGTCTCGGAAATTATCTTCTCCTCTAGTTTCTTCTCGCATGTGCCAAGCATACACGCACTGTAACCAGCAGTTATAGTTACGCGTGACGAAAAAATGACGCCAGGGCTTGTGTTGGTATGGGTGGCATAATTTGTCGTGTTGGCAGTGCCGAACTCCGGTCCAGATTTTGTCTAACGTTCCTTAATAATCTCAACGATCATCCAGATTATCTATCAGCCGAACGCTGCCCCTGCGCGAGAAGGGGCACACCGAGTTGAGCCCGGTCTTTGGGAGCATGACCCTGCCGCACCGTCGACCGCCCTCCCTGTCTCTCTCGCCACCGTCCGCAGCTCCCCTCCGAAGGCGGCACCAGCGGCGACAGTTTAACGGCTGCCGCCACCGCAGCCTACCATCACACCACTGGTGCTGAGTGCGCACGGGGGGGGGAGGGGCGGGGAGGGGGGACAGCAGCGCTGCCTCATCCGCGCGGATTGGCTAGTCGGTCGACTTCAAAGCGCCCAGTCACCTCTCGTTCGATATGCCAGCGCTGAGGTGTCCCCGGCCGTCGGCTGCGAGCTTCCGCGCTCCGGCCGGCTGGTACGGGGAAGCAGCGGCGCCGGCCGGGAGTGGCCGGTCTGAAGAGGGGACTTCTGCGAATGGCAGGCTACAAACGACTGGCTCTGTGACGGATTGGGAGTATCTGGAATCGGGGTATAATATGTCGCGGAACGAGGAGCGTCGCCGCCGTTTTGGCTGACGCGCTCGTAAAAGGAGCCGCTCGCGGGAATCACCCCGAGGAAAATTCTGCGGCATACGCGCCTCGAGCACACACCAGTTTAGCTTCGGTTTAGCCAGAGTTTGCGGTGCGCGGCCGGCCGCGGGCCACCGACAACGCGCGCTGTCTGCTGCTCAGCCCGGCTCGACTGACACCTGACCCTGACCCCGTTCCCGGCCGGGGTCGGGTCGATGCCGATGTTCGCACGCCGTGCACTATTGATCGGCCGCCGTCGCGACCTGCCAGCCAGCTGTGCACGGGCCCGGCCGAGGCTGCGGCTCGCCGGCGGCGCCCGGCCGGCCTCCGGTCCACGGCGAGCGGGCACGGCCGGCCTCCGGTCCCTGGCGAGCGGGCCCGGCCGGCCTCCGGTCCCTGGCGAGCGGGCACGGCCGGCCTCCGGTCCCTGGCGAGCGGGCCCGGCCGGCCTCCGGTCCCCGCGAGCGGGCACGGCCGTTCTTAGGCGGGCTCAGGGCTTCGGGTCAGCGGGCTGCCGCCGGTGCTGGAGTCTCCGGGACCTAGGCGCAACAGGAGGCGAAGAGTCCGCCCCGACTTTGGAAGCAGCCGCGGGTGGATATCAGCTGTCGCGTGTGGTAAATTCCAGGCTGTCTTCTGTATATTTACTCTGAGGGTAATGTTGCCAGTTACGTGAGCTTGCGAGACATGGCATC